TTACTTGATAATCTCCATCAAGTGTTCTACATCATCGATCTTAGAATATAAATGCAAAAAAGTCAAGCTACATACAAAATCCTTGTGCAGTGTTGCAGAACAAGACATTCACACACTGATCATGTAGTAGGGATCAAGCTTGTCAAACAATTCAATTGATTATCAGTAGATTAGGGAAAATACTATAAACCTAGGTAGTCAATACTAAACTAGCAGAATGCATCGGAGTTCAGAAAACATAAAAACATATAGGATCCACACTGTTACCTAGTCAAACAAGAGAGATGCTACATGTACTGAGGAAAATGTCATGGAAATTGCAAGGACGTCAAGTGGCAGAATTTTATTAGACTTTGCACAAAACACAGATTTAAAACAGGCAATAAAAATCCGTCACATCAGCACATGGCAATTCCTCTATTAGCATTGTTGCATATTTCTAGAATTCTCTAGATTAACTTCGGAAACAAGAAAAGTTTAATGATTAAAAAATTATCTAGAATTCACTAGAGATTCTTGGGAAGCAAGCAAAATTAAAATACAAAATAATGAAAATATCAAAGAATTCTAGAATTCCTTAAGGACCAAATAAGACAAAATAATGAAAAATTAAGAATTTTCTAGAGGCAAGCTACCAACTTTTGTATGCTAAAAATAGGCGTTATCACTTCAATTGTTGTGTGTAGAAATCTAAAGTATTGTCATTGTAAAAGTCTCATATCATTGTAAAATTCTATTTTTCAATAAATTAAATTTCCTCCCTTCAATTATCTTGTCTAATTTAAAATTAGTCCCTATTATTTTTATCCTACAAAATATATTTCGCATAAACCACCAAACATTTACAATCTAATTTACTTATTTTTCCTTCCTGTTGACCTATGGTTGATTATAACCTTAATATTTTGATTATAACAAAAAAGTTATTTTATTTACTAACATTTAATTTTGAGTGATGATAGTTCAATGTTAAACTCGATCAAGAATTGCCAAATGAACACATCATAAATCGGACTCGAAATGAAGATCAAAGTGAAAGTTAGCATTCGAGACGATAGCGATTTGCATGCGACGATCAAATTGAAACTTGAAGATTCGCAATAGGCACAAATCAAGATACAAGCCAAAAGAATGACAAGTCAAGACGATTAAACATTGTACATTTATATGTAAAGGTATTAACNTGCTCTTTTGCTCTATAAATAGCCATCTCTTTTCCATTCAACTTCAAGATTTTACAAGAGCAATTTAGAGAGTATATTTATTGAAAATCATTGAGCTTACTTGATTATAAATTATATTTCATTTATTACAAAGAATTTCTTGATTGATCAAATTAATTTTCATCTATCTCATCAAGAATTCTTTTTACAAAGAAACTTTCACAATCTCATCTTTTCTTCATTCTTAATAGAAGTTTTTTTTGCCAACACTTTTATTAAAGTGTAAATCTCTCTTCATACTTAACTTGTATTATTTGTTAAGACGGATTATATTTTGAAAACTTGATACAAAGAATCTCTTGATTGATCAAAACTAGTTTCATTCATTTCATCAAGAATTCTATTTTACAAAGAAACTTCTCAATCTCATCTCTTTCAATTTTTTATAAAGGTTTTCTTTGCCTACACTTATATTGAAATGTAAATCTCTCTTCATACTTAATTTGTATTATTTGTTAAGAGAGATCATAGGTTGAAAACTTTGATACAAGATACAAATTATTTCATTATCCATCATTCATCAAAGTTTACAACAAAAACACTTGAGCTTTATTATTTACTATCTATTGAAGTGTTTACCTAACTCTCTAATACTTAATTTGATTATATCATTGGTTAAAAGAATTTTTTCAATTGTAAAATTATCACTTACATTTTGACGGTTTCGAGAGCCTTGTGAAAACTCGATTGTAAGGATAGGTGTTCCTTGTTGTAAGTCACCTAAAGATAAATACTCCTTATTGTAAATCACTTAAAGCTAGGTGCTCCTTGTTGTAAATCACCTAAGGATAAGTGCTCCTTGTTGTAAGTCATTTAAGGATTAGTACTCCTTGTTGTAAGTTACCATTATAATGCATTTCGCATTGTTCGTGACGGAGAACTTGGTAACGGGGACGTAGAACACATTGTGTATCGAACCTCATTAAATTGGTTTGTTATCTTTACATTATCGCACTTTACATTGCAATTTATATTGTATTATATTCATACTTGAATTAAGTTATCGAACTTGCATATTTAATTCTAGTATTATACTTTGCATTCATATCTTGTGTATTGTATTATTTTGAGACTAAGTGTCGAAAAAGTTTCAAAAATCAATTCACCCTATCTTGGTTAGTTATTATTGTGTTAACACTCCCAACTCTAAAATATCATCATCCTCTGTACAAATAGATTCATTCATAAAACAAATTAAAGATTGCATGCATATCAGATGGGTCTTGCCAAAGCATAGGAATGGTCCATTTTTCTATTGACTGATGGGAACAACTAACACCTAACTGTGACAACATTTATGTAGAACTTTGAGTTTCTTTTATTACTTTAGTATAAAATATCATAATATTGAACAGATTATCGTTTAGAATAATAAATTTGGAAGTTGACACCTAATCAGAAACCTACTTCGGTAAATAGACTATAGTCGATGAATATATTTGGGGACAAAATATAAGAAAATACGTTGAAGAAGAAGAAATTAACATTCCACAGGCACTACTTATGGCATAAAAGATTTGTACTGAAAATAATAAACATTCAAAGCACCAAATTCATCAATTTCTACTGCTCTGCCAGTTCTCTCTGCTCCAAAGCACGAACCTAAACTCCTTTGCTCTACCAACGATGTGCTATAGGGTCACCTAGTATAAATGTTGATAGTTAAAAAACATGAACATTTAACCAGCCAAGGGCGGACCCAGAAAGGATGTTCAGTGGTGGCGAAATCAAAAAACCTAAATAAACCTGGACAAAAAAATTAAAAAAATCTGAAAATTGAGTGGGGGCCACTAGTCCTCAAGTAGGTCCGCCCTTGTAACCAGCACTATACGTTCATTGTCCACAATTAGACATTTTAGCATACTATACCAGACACGATAAAGATTGAAATCCAAGTTACTCGAAGATAATAGAAACGGGCTCCCTCATTTCCCTACCTCAATATTTATACACTTGAACAGACTTTCATGATGAAAACATACACACAATAACATTAGACACTTGATAAAAGTTGATTGTCTCAATAAACCTTTCACCATACGTATATGAAATTCACTTATAATATAGAAGTCAGAAAGAAATATATGGTCAAACATGGTTATATGGGCTTGTTCCAGCCCATGAGGAATTAAAAAGCCCAATCCATTATATGTCATGTAGGTCACGTATGGGCAATTAGTTAGAATTTGTGGCTGCACATTCAAAGAGAGAACAACTAAGGGCTGCTACGAGAGTGAAAAACTGACCGAGGCTGCTGGATGTGAAAACTATGGCTGCAAAATCGAAGAAAATACAAGGGTAGAGAGAAAGAAAGGAAAAAAAATTTCTTTGAATCTTTGGATGTGGATTTCTCAAATGTATTTCTCTACATAGTACAATTTTGGGATTTCTCTAAGTGGTATATTTTGAGTACTCGAGATAGGTGTAGTATTCAAAGTGGGCATCTCACATGAGTTTAACAAATTGATGGTTTGTAATGAGATTTGTTGTTTTAGAGATTAATTATTCCTGTATTTCCAATTAGTTGAGAACTCAAGATTTGGGCATAAACTTCAACGTTCTAATCTCCGTTTATTATAGTGAATTTGGCCAGAATTGTCTTGTGGTTTTTTTCCCCTATACACTGGAAGGTTTTTTCCACGTAAAATTTGGTGTTGTGATCGCTTTGATCCTACACAATTGATGTCAAAAAACTAATTTCATTGTGTACTCTTATCATACATTTTGTTGAGTGGATTTTTCTGAACTTTTATGTAAAAGAATGAAAAGTAAAATTAAGAAGATGTTCACGCCGATAGAGCATTGTCAAAGGGTGAAAGAAACTTGAAATCGCCTAACCCAAACTCGCAATCATATCATTTCATGTTAGAAAGATATTTCTCAACTTTTTTTTTAATATTTTTTAATCACATTTTTTAAAAATTCTGTTAATGAAAGGTAAACTTGTGACTTGAAAAAAGTTGATCGCAATGCATGTAATATTGTTGTAAAAGTGGCTTGTAAAGCTCCGTTCGTTTGGATAAAAATCAGATTTTAAATAAATTTTAATAAAAGTTGATGAAAGTTTTGATTTTAAGTCTTATGGTTAAAATTAATTATTATTTTTCACTTAAATTTTAATTAATTTTTTTTAGTTGATCCAAACAAGGGATAAGTATCGTGCAGAAATTTTAGAAGCATTACCCCTGCTCCTCCGTCAACAACCCGTTATCCAACGCCAACGGTCACCTAAACCCTCACGTCACGTCGGCGAATTATTCTTATTTTTGTCCCCACGTAACTATAGTTCTGCTTTTTGACGTGTGTAAGTTCTCTCTCCTACAAATATCCCCTCATACGCCCATTAGCTTCCACACATTGCAATCTCAGAAAAGATAATCCTCCACACTAACTTCTCATAATCAAATCATCAAGGTATTTTTTTCTTATCTGCTTTTCAAAATTTTTTATATTCTTGAATTCAAGAAACAATTGTAATTGTATATCGCTTCTGAAAATTTTGTGATCTGGGTTATTTTCTATTCTATGTTGAATTTTTTGCTGTGTGAATCTTATATTCGGTCTTGAATTATACAGATTATATTCATCCGTTTTTCAAGTTTGTTATATTCTTGAATTCGAGAAATATATGTTTATGTTTTCGTTTTAATTGGATTTTTGAAAGCAATAATGGGTTGCTGCTGGAAATTTTAATCGTATGCATAAGCTGTATAATCTTGGTTATTTTCTATGTTGAAATTCCTATGATAAGATTCTATTTGGTCTCGAATTATACAGATGCAGATCTTTGTTAAGACCCTTACCGGCAAGACCATAACCCTCGAGGTTGAGAGTTCCGACACGATTGATAATGTAAAAGCAAAGATTCAGGACAAAGAAGGAATTCCACCGGACCAGCAACGATTGATCTTCGCCGGAAAGCAGCTCGAGGATGGTCGTACGTTGGCAGACTATAACATCCAAAAGGAGTCAACTCTCCACCTGGTCCTCCGTCTTCGTGGAGGTATGCAAATCTTCGTGAAGACCCTGACCGGAAAAACCATCACTTTGGAGGTGGAGAGCTCCGACACAATCGATAATGTTAAGGCGAAGATCCAGGATAAGGAAGGAATCCCACCAGACCAACAACGTTTGATCTTTGCCGGTAAGCAGCTAGAGGATGGTCGCACGCTGGCGGATTATAACATCCAAAAGGAATCGACCCTGCACCTTGTTCTCCGTCTTCGTGGCGGTATGCAAATTTTTGTCAAGACCCTGACGGGAAAAACCATTACTTTGGAGGTGGAGAGTTCCGACACAATTGATAATGTGAAGGCTAAGATTCAGGACAAGGAGGGCATCCCACCGGACCAACAAAGACTCATTTTTGCTGGAAAACAACTTGAAGATGGAAGGACACTGGCCGATTACAATATCCAAAAGGAGTCCACCCTGCACTTGGTCCTCCGTCTTCGGGGTGGCATGCAAATCTTCGTGAAGACCCTGACTGGAAAAACCATCACTTTGGAGGTGGAGAGTTCCGACACAATTGATAATGTGAAGGCAAAGATTCAGGACAAGGAGGGCATCCCACCAGACCAACAGAGGCTCATTTTTGCTGGAAAACAGCTCGAAGATGGACGAACACTGGCAGATTACAACATCCAAAAGGAGTCCACATTACACTTGGTCCTCCGCCTTCGTGGTGGCATGCAGATCTTTGTGAAGACCCTAACTGGAAAAACCATCACCTTAGAGGTGGAGACCTCTGACACAATCGACAATGTAAAGGCAAAGATACAAGACAAGGAGGGCATCCCACCGGACCAGCAGAGGTTGATATTTGCCGGGAAGCAGCTTGAGGATGGAAGGACTCTCGCGGATTACAACATCCAGAAGGAGTCCACTCTGCACCTTGTGTTGAGGCTCAGGGGTGGATTTTAAAGCTAGTTTTAAGAATTTACATGTCTATCACTTTTCAAATCAAGATTGTGTGTATGTGAGGCGTTGTTAGTGTGTGAATAATTGGTGTGTTTCCTTTGGTTGCTTTGTGAAATTGAATCGTGTCTCGTTTATTTCCGGTAATAATAAAGTTGTTTTGTTTGTAATACATTGTTCATAGACATGTTTCTGTGTTTTGTTCATCTTGAGGCATTTCCAACTGTTCAGTATTTTATCATTCACATAAGAAATCTTATGCTTCCAAAACCAAGAAAACCTTAAACAAGTTAGAAACAGGATTCAGTTCCCGCATCTTGCTAATTCCTAGTTCGATTAAAAATCTAATTCTTATACAAGAACTGGTCTGATCAAAAGTCACTAGCATCTAATTGTATATACAATGGGATCAAGTCTTGACATTCTCAAGAAATGGCAAATGCAACATCACCGTGGGGCAGGTTAGTCTTCTAGACCCCTGCTTAACAGTAGATATCGAATTCTTTGGATTCTTTGTAGTTTTGGCCCAACTCACTAGTCACAATGTCTTGCTCAAACTACTAAACATGCCAGATTCTTGGATCCAGAGTAGTTTTTGTCAACCTGGCAAGTTGCCCACCACCCTCTTGTTCAGCCTGCACCAGCTTAGAACCCCCTTCCCTCATCCTCAACCCTGTCAACCAACTGAAGTTGTCACGCGTCCAACCTATTTATTAAAAAGATAGAAGTAAGAAAGCCAATTAAGATATGGGAGGAAGCCAGAAAGGGAAATGATGTGCACAATTATCTTGTACTTTTGACCTTTTCTAAAAGAATCCTAGTAATGCCTTCTGATAAGTGTATTTTGTATACTTATTTAGGTCATTAAATAAGAATATTTGTTAGTAATTTGGATGAGTTATAACTTAATTTTGTGTTAATTATGTTTGTTATGTTGAACTCAACGTAAATTGGTGGATTCGGAAGAAACGAACAAAAAATGTGCGAAAACGAAGGAAATCCAAAGTTTGGAGACCAAAGTGTAAACATCCAATAGTTGATTCGGAGTACAAAATGATTATTGAAGATCATATAGATCAATTGGATGCAATTGGAGGTCAAAGAAGTGAAATATAGTGGAAGTATTTTCACAAATCAATTTCCAGCCGAAAAAGTTATGTTTCGGATTTTTAGCCTCAACTTGATACCTATTTTTTGGATAGAAAACGTTCGAATTAGAAACTTGTATATCTATAAGAATTGTAGTTCTTTGAATTATCTTTCAAATCATTTTAAATCAGCTCAATCGAATATGTGTAGAAAATGTTATGACCAAACTATTGAAAACTGTTCTCGGACGAATCTAAGCGAACCTACACACGCAAGCAATTCGTGGTGCACGTGGTGCCCTATTTTCCCCAACCCGAGAGCCATTTGGCTTTACGGCGCGTGCGAGGGCCATTTCTACAGACAAATCTTTAGTTTTCTTTCGTAATTCAAACTCTTTTGGAAACCAAATTGGATACGATTTTGACCTATTTTCTAGCTCTTATAAATAGAGAACGAGTGCTACACATAGAAAAAAACATCGAGTAATGCTATTCATTCCCACTGGGGATGGAAACACAGTCTACGTGGCGTTAATGTGGCATTAAATGATAGCTGAAATTAAATAAGTCATTTAATTTCACCTTTCATTTAACCTATCATTTAAAGTCACGTAAATTGTACTTTCATCCCCACTAAAAATGAATAACATTACTCTTGTCAATTTCAGCCGCGTGGTGTTAGGTACACTTGTAAAGAGTAATACTATTCATCCCCACTAGAAATGAAAATACAGTCTACGTGACGTTAATGTGGCATTAAATGATAGGTGAAATAAAATAAGTCATTTAATTTCACATTTCATTTAACCTATCATTTAAAATCACCTAAACTGTATTTTCATCCCCATTGGGGATGAATAACATTACTCAAAAACATCTATTGCCACTTCATACACAATAGTATCATCAAATTTATCGAAAACAAGGGGCCAATTGCTATATTTTGAGAGAGTAAATCAAACTATAGCAAGGAATTAAATGTCAAATTACATCAAGATTTTGAAGAATTCAACATTGAGCTTAAAGATCTTTTGTATTCTATCATGATCCGGGTGATATGTTCTATTATTTTTCTTATAATTTATATATTAGAATGCTAGGCTAGATCCACTTTGGTATTGATGAAGATGAACCCTATTGTTTATTTATTTTAATTCAATACTAGTAGTTTAGTTTATTTCTTGCATTTCTTGATTAATTTTGCATACACATTGCATTATTTAATTGAATGGCTATCAATTAGATAATTAGTTGATTACTGTAGTGTTGAGAGACTTTAGAACGCGACAAAATTAGTATATGTGCAATAGATATTATGAACAACATTATCACGTGTATAATCATATAAATAATCTAAACTTTAATATATTCTAATCATTCGAATTCGGGTTAGGAATAGATTCGGGTCGTGCTTATGATAGATATAATTTGTCTTGAAAAATAAATTATATATTATAGTCTTATCGATTGTCAAGAACGCATGAATGGAACAATATTACAAATCAAGAATTGAAATAAATAGCAATAGGCGGATCCGAAATCCAATACAATCATCCATAAATTGATAAAAATCACATTTTTACAGCTTTTTTAAATTAATTAAATATAAAATAAAATCAAACTCTCTTTTATTTATATAATTCGAATCCCATAAAATGTTAGTAAACTTGAATTGAATTTATTCCCTGAGTGACGATACTCTCAACTCATTAATTCTATTACTTGTCAATGATCTCGTACGCTTGTGCTTTTCGTACGAATAAGTTTTTGGCGCAGTTTTCGTGGAATAAAGTATTTAATTTGAGTGTATTTATTTATATAGGATTTGAATTTTTATTTATTTATTTTTGTTTTGTTAATTTTGGCTACCCACCGCTATCTCTTTTGTGCTTTGTATTCTTTTAGGTACTATTCAACAGTATATGCAGGATTCTATTGATGGCAATGGAGAATTTTTTTTTGCAACAAGTAATCTCAACATAGATAATGCGGATATGTTTGTAGAAGACATAAATTATGAGCTTTCTAATGGGATGCATTATACTGGACAATGTTTGTTTACATGCACTAATCCCTTTATATTCAAGCTTCTGCGGTTTAAACAATATTTAAGATATCAAAAACAAACAATTAACAAATCTGATGAAGGCTAAATGCCTGAGGGCGAATATGTATCTACATATCCAGAGGATGACATCATTCTTAAGGGGGTTGGACCTCCCCTATTAAACGAAGAGGATCTTGCAAAATATTATAATGAACTTGCTATGTTGGATGAAAGCAAAATACGCACAGGAAATTCTGTATTCTGAGACGAATTTAAAAGGTGAGGATATAATCCACTTAAAATGGTTGGAAGAAAAGAATTATCATTGCCAGTGAATTTAGACTGTGAATCGACCATTTAGCTCGAGATCTCAATTATTGAAGAAGAGCATAAAGTTGATGACAAACTAATTACAAAGGAACGAAGCGAAGAAGTGACAATTAATGATAATGAAATTAACACACATTCTTTCTACATCATCGATTGTCCAACAATTGAATTTGTGATTAAGTCCAAAGAGGAAGAAGTCTACATAGTTGATTTCGAATCAGATGGAATAAACAAGTCATATCACATTGAACGAGACAAGGTTAAGATTTGGAGAATCAATGAAAAGTGGATCAAAGTCAAAATAGGCAAACTAAACAAGGCATCAAAAGCTTTCTTCAAAATTCTATGATACAAAATATCAAAGTTGAGCTAATGACTATAAATAAGCGTTTATTGGGAGGCAACATAATTTTCTTTCTTGTTATTTATTTTACTTTCTAGATATAGGATTCATAATTTTTATTGCTTTTAGTAGTATATGGTATTTTCATCCTCATATTTCCCTCTAAGGTGTGTATGAGTTTACTACAAATTGTTTCATGTTATGATTGATTTTTACTAGTTTGAAGGAACATGTCACATGAACATATTGGACAAGGGAAAAGACATAGTAAGTAAGTTAACACTTTTCATGCCAGTCCATTCACCACCGGTAGATTTATATCAGTGGAGTACTTAATTCCCTTCTTTGGCTTTAATTTTTATATATTGTTTGTTATATTTCTAGATATTGAGGACAATATCTGTTATAAGTTTGAGATGGAAAAATATTGAGTTTTTATTAGTTTGTATGCTTGTTCGGGTGAAAAAAAAATTAGCTTTATTTTTATTTTTGTATGCTGGTGTGGGTTAGATAATTTTGCCTACTATAATGCATATATTTGGAATTATGTATTAGATTATAAATTATTAGATTATAAATTGTTAAGGTTGATTTATGCTTATTCGTGTGAAATTTGAAATTTTTGCGCACAAGATTTATATTTTGCATCATGAAAAAATAGTTTGATTCAAATTTTGAATAGGTAAAAAAAAAGTTAGTGGACCTTAGATGCTAAATCCAAATAATTACTAAATTATACATCCTTAAACCAATATTAGGTTAGTTTGGAGGTGATTGAGTTGTTGTATGGAGACATTGAGATGGATATAGATTACATGTGTGCTAATTTTTTTGTAAATTGTCTAAAGCCAACAAGAAGAAAATTAGGCGAAAATCTTAAGTTAGAGGTCTATTTTTGAGAATAAGTGTTTAATGAGGGGTATTGCACTAATCATTACATGAAAAAGAGAAAATATTATTTTATTGTGAAATTCTGTTCGTAACATTTATGACTCAAGTGATTAATTCTGCAAGGGTATCTAAAATTGGGTGCCCTATAGTCACTTGACTTGAGAGTTATTGGCCAAAATATCGCTACAAGGGTCGTTTAGAAAGTTTAATAGAGAGAAGTTCGCACATAAGATGAAAAAATGGAAAAAAAAAAAAAAAGGAAAAAAATTATTACATGCTTTGATTAAGTTCCAAATACTTATTTGAG